TTATCTAAATGTCGACTCTCGACAACGGAAGATTCATTTCACACCACCCAAATGCCTGTCTAAGGGACATAGACTAACTAAGAACTGATATAAGGCCATGGACACACCATAATAAAATTGTCAAGGGGCTTAGGAGTATAATGGAATGGAAAATAATAATAGGAATAAGGAATTTATCGATTCGAAGTTTCGCAGACAAACGTTATAATGGCTCTAAACGAAGAGGACCCCGTGGACAGGAATCTGAGGGAAGTATTACCACCTATTCAACATCAACTAAAACGATTCGACAGGAGGTAAAATCAATGAAATGGGAAGATTTCCCATTTGGAGATGAAATGTATTTTTCGAAAATTAGTTTTTGAATGAGCACTTTCAATATGCTCAAATGCTTAATATAGATGACCCGGAAGACATCGTTTTTCCAGACGACGACAACATCTTTGACAATGTAGAAGCCGATGACTTAGAAAACGACGAGTATTTATTTAATGTTGCCAATCGCTTAGAAATTTAAGTAAACATTGTATACAAATGATGACTTAGAAAACAGCGAGTATTAATTTAATTTTGCCAATCATTGTTACATTGCTTACATTGTATAAAAAATGAAACAAAGTATAAAATATTTAAAATTCGAATATAAAAATATTTCTATTTTTCGCTACCATATTAACTTAAATAAATAATACAAATATTTACTTTAACCAAAAAAGTGTTTATTTCATTATTTCGTTATATCAGTGTTTTTGTTTTTGTGTCTTGCTTTTAGTTTTCATTAAAAGATGAAATCATTTATTATTTGTCTGAAAACACGTATCATTCCTGCCTACCCAATCTATGATAAGGATATTTTTATTTTCTTCTCATTCCTTTTTCTATATTATAATATATTGAACGTAATGTTTGCTGCCTTCCCTTCGAACTTAATTTTTTATGACATCCACAAGTGTCTATTCCTTCCGAAGCTGAATCCTTACTCCATATATATGTTTCTCGGTGTACGCCACGTATAGAAGTTTTCATGTTAACTTCTTCACACGGATAGAAGTTATCATATTAACTTCTTCACACTCAAGTAGTTTTGTATTTAAAAAGAGAAGTCTCAGATAGTGAGAATTTAACAGAACTTCATAAAACTGATTGAGAATCAATTTAATTCGATCCGAATACAAAATGTACATCCAAGACTTTAAGCTTTAAAAGTGATCTTTACCACCTGCTTGCCGAATTTATTCTAATATTCTCAGAGTTTCAAGTTTTTAGTCAAGGGGATGGCAATGTTTCAAATTTCAGAGTTTTTTCTTATGACAAATGAAAAAAATATTAATTTAAATTAATTCCAAGGTCATTTTTAAACTCGGCATCTATTGGTTACTTTTATTAAAAAAAATGGGTATCTTGAAGAAAAATAATTCTTATCTCTTCTAAACTGAAATTCGGTTGGTTTCGATCCATCTATTACTATCTGGGAATTTATCTGAGCTGCTTTCTAAACTTTGTGAACCCACATTAAAATAGTATAAAACAAGAGGAAACGCTATATACAAGTGCCGCGACTATAAGATACCCGTTACTGTTTTACACAATTTTAAAATATTCAGTTTGCTAGTGGAAATTACCCAAGCGCTACCTAATGTCGGAGAAATCATGTCGAGTAACTGATAGTGATGTCACTGCCCATGTGAGGGCTTATAACCTAAATTTCTTCATAAGTAGCGAAATAATGTTCATTTTGAAAAATCTTTGGTAAATCGATAGATATTAACACAAATAAGTTATACAAGGTCAAACGAAGGCATTCATAATATTATTATAGACGCCACAGTCTTCCGCGGTTTGTGGCTGTTAGAGTGGGCGTGGCCGAATAAAAACTCGTGCGGAGTTGCAGTGGCAATCCTAAAATACGTATTCTTAAGCCTAACTTTCTAGCTCTTTTAGTTCTGGAGATTTTGCATTTTTGGTTTTTCGGATTTTGTGGGCGTTAGGATGGCGTTTCCTATAAAAGTTCCACTATAAGATGCATAGCATGATGATGATAGCATCTAAAGATTATACATACTGAATTTCAACTTTGTAGCTCTAATAGTTCCTGAGAGCGATTTTAGTTTCAGTGATTTTGGTTTTTCAGGATTTTTTGGCGTTAGGGTGGGCGTGGCTAGATGGAAAAAAACAATTCGCATTTGGGGAATCATAAAAATGTACAAGTTTAATACGAACTTTCCATCACTTATAATTACCGAGATATCAGGTTTTCTTGAAAATGCGAAAACCGTCTTTTTAGCTTGGTGGGCGTATGGGTGGGTGTGGCCAGATAATAGTACCACTAAAAGATGCGCTGGTATCCAAATTTTATACATACTGAATTTCAACTTTCTACCACTAATAGTTCCCGAGATTTTAGCGATTTTAGTTTTTAGCGATTTGTGGGCGTTAGAGTGGGCTTGGCAGGATGCTGAAATAAACTTGCGCTGTCCCGGGACCTTAAGAATCTTCATGAGTAATCTCAACTTTGTATCTGCTATAGTTCCTGAGATCTTAGCGTTCATACGGACGGACGGACGGCCGGACAGACGGACATGGCTCAATCGACTTCGCTATTGATCCTGATCAAGAATATATATACCTTAAAGGGTCGGAAACGCTTCCTTCCATCTGTTACAGACATTTCAACGAATATAGTATACCCTATTACTCTACGAGTATTGGGTATAAAAAGAGACAAAAAGTAAATGTGCAGTGAAGATGTATTGAATATATAAGTTAACCCGTAGTCGGGTTACACTGGATGCAAGCGTAAGCGGGAACGAACGCGATCACCATTTCGTAGTTTATTCGCAACATATATCTTTATGTGAGTCTTGTAATATTTTTTTATTGGTAATGCTTTACCCCAATTACATTTAAGAAGTTTCGATAGCCCTTGTTAAAAGTTGAATAATCCCCCATTTCGACCAAATCTGCTTGCCACAGGTCGTTTATTCCGATCCGATCGCTCTCTATCAATAAAAAAATGTCCAAAATTGTCAACAGACAAGATGATTATACATAAAAACAAACGCTGAGGAGCAGATCGACGATCAGGTTGAGGACGATAGCGACTCCGAGGCAGAAGGTGCGGCTGATTTAATTGATGATGAGGCTGAGGAAGATGAAGATGAGAATAGTGACGAAGAGGAAGATGATGACGAGAAGGTTGAGCTAGGAGAGGTTTCAAAGACCTCTGACGCAGGGGAAGAAGAAGACTCCGACGAAGATGATGAAACCCCTGAAGAGGAGCCTGTTTCCAAGAAAGGCAAGAAAAGTAAGAAACCCGGGGAATCCAACTCTGAAGGATTAAAAGAAAAGAGCGGAATTCCTAAAGTGTCCGTTGGTAGGATTTCCATAGGAACGCCAAAAAATCAGATCGTCTATGCCGCGAACTTACCAAATGAATACTAACACAAGGATGTGGTCACCTTATTCGCCAAGTTCGGACCGATCTATGCAGTGCACCGTATCACTAATAAGATGGGATCCAATTCAGTCATCGTGGCCTTTGATACGCCGGCTGGAGCAGAAGCCGCTTTGCAAGTGGTTGCCCTGCTTGGACCAAATAGCACAAAAGAGGATATAAGGGCTTTATCGAGAAAGTAGCTCCCGTGGAGGATGTAACTTTAAATGCTAACCGCCTTATCCCCAGAGCATTTGTAGGCTTGGAGTCAGTAGATGATATTCCTAAAGTCCTAAAACTGCACAGCACCGAGCTCTTTTCTTGCACGGTGCGACCTCTTTCGTTCAAGGCGTTGTCAACGTCCAATGAACTTACCCTGGTCGTAGAAAATGTAGGCAGGCACGAGTATAACAGCTGCGATGCCTTGGAGAAGATATCCAAAAAATGTGGTGAATTGGACTATGTTGACGTTGTGTGCAGCAGAGCAGTTTTTGCGTTCGTCACATTCAAGCAACCTGAAGGAGCTACAAAGGCTATTGCAGAACTCCAAGGAAAGACTGTTAACAATCTGGAGCTAAAGCTGCAGCCCTATCATGTCAGTAGATCGGGAAGGGCTATTCTAGTGATAAACTTGACGTCAGATACTACTGAAGCTGACTTAAGGCAATTGTTTACCAAGAGCGGCGAAATCGAGAGCTGTTGGGCATTAAGGCCGTAAAAAAGATCACAACCGATGAAGGCTTGTGTAAATCAGTCTTGGCCAACGAAACTATCGTCAACCGCGAACGTATTTTTATCGAGCCCAACTCTCTGCTGAAGCACAGATTAATGAAAAGACGCACTGCAAAAAGCCACGCTCCCGGAAAGTTCCAGAAGGACACATTTGGCCGCAAACCTTTTAATCAGCTTCCGTCACATGAAAATGGGGGCAATCCGTTTATAAAAAGGAAGTTAGAAACTGAATATGCCGTAGGAGAATTAGTTGCCATAAAAAGAACACAGTATGGAACAAAGAACAAAGAAATAACTGTGCGTTAACACATCGAAAACTGTCGCGACGAAGAATGAAGTGAAGACTGAGAAAAAAAAGAATTAAGAACTGATAAAAGTCGAGGAAAATCTAAAAAAATAAAAAGATCGACTAACGTCGAAGCAGCGAATTGGTGTACACAGACTACTACAGACTATTTTTGCGACAACAAAAAATTCCCTGTGGCGAAAAGAGGAGCTGAAAGATCTTGCAAACGACGCAATCCGCCAAAAAATTTCGAGAGACGAGCAAGAAGTGGCAACGAGACGAGCAAGCGAGTATGAGCTGTAGTAGGAGAGTGGATTGGATTGGCAAAATTCCAGCAGACGTAGAAGGCAGCCAAATCCAATTGGGTGTGGTGAGCGACTGAGACGATTTCATATATTTAATCTGATTTAAATTTTTTTTGAATACACGAAGTTGTTTAACGTCAATTAAATTCTTACTTTCTTGTATCAAAACATTTAAATATTGAATTGTACCACTGTTTGTAAACGGCTTGAACTCATTACTATGGATGCTAGATCGAACCTCGCTATGACCGTGCCTCTACTAAGGGCAAAGTTATCCAAACTAGGTTTGTATACAACTGGCAGAAAAGGAGCTTTGCAGGATCGGTTTTTTGATCATTATGCATTAGATGTGGCTGGCGATGAGGACGGCCAGGCTGATGATTACCAAGAGGCGGTTCAACCTAGTAGCTCGAGATTTACACTATGCGATATTCAGGACAGTGTTTCATCATTTTTAATAATTTGCATAAATTTATTTATGCTAATCAACTTCTGATTGGAGCAGCCAAGCTCTACATTAAAAGTACAAGGGGAGTTAGGGGTTGGATTGAGCTGAAAAACGCGTTGAAGGAAGAACTCGGTAAAAAGCTATGTTCGGCAGAGATACACAAGATTTTGCGCAAAAGGCAAAAACAACCAAAAGAGGTATGCCTCGAGTATCTCTATAGTTTAATTGAGATCAGCAAACCGATAAATCTTGATGAGGAAAGTCTAGTATCGTACTTCATAGATGGCATCCCAGATAGCAAGGTCAACAAGGCAGGGTTGGATCGAGCGAATTCCATTAGGGAACTTAAAGCCGAATTAAGCACTTACAAAAAGAGGGTAAGGGAAATACTAAAGACAATTTGAACAGGGAATCGACAGGTAAGCCGACTCAGAGCAATTTTCAAAAGAAATGCTTCAAATGTAACAGTGAAGGCCATATTGCTAAGGATTGCAAAGGCGAAGTAATATGTTACAAGTGCAACAAGAAAGGACATATCTCTAAAAATTGAGATAAGAATAAAGAAACTATTTCCGTTAAGAAAGAGTTTGCAAACATACTGGAAGTAAAAGCTGCGAAGGGACTCAAAAGATGAAAGCTAAAGGAGTGACATTCATTCCAATGGCGTCGAGTTCAGGGCAAAAAAGAGAGACTTTGCATCGACATTTAATGGAATTTGTGTCACGGAGATAGTCGAGAAAAGTTCCGTCCTAGATAAAAATAATTTATCTCACCAGTCCGACATTGAAAAACTAAAGGTACAGGAAGGAGAAACAGATCGCAGCTACCCAGTCGCCCTCCAAAAGGACCAGGAAGCAACCAGTGAAGAAAGTTCCACTGTCGAGCGAGGAAGAGTCCGACGCTGAGGAGCAGATCGACGATCAGGTTGAGGATGATAGCGACTCCGAGGCAGAAGACGCGGCTGATTTAATTGATGATGAGGCTGAGGAAGATGAAGATGAGAATAATGACGAAGAGGAAGATGATGACGAGAAGGTTGAGCTAGGAGAGGTTTCAAAGACCTCAGACGCAGGGGAAGAAGAAGACTCCGACGAAGATGATGAAACCCCTGTAGAGGAGCCTGTTCCCAAGAAAGGCAAGGAAAGTAAGAAACCCGGGGAATCCAACTCTGAAGGATTAAAAGAAAAGAGCGGAATTCCTAAAGTGTCCGTTGGTAGGATTCCCATAGGAACGCCAAAAAATCGGATCGTCTATGCCGCGAACTTACCAAATGAATACAAACACAAGGATGTGGTCACCTTATTCGCCAAGTTCGAACCGATCTATGCAGTGCACCGTATCACTAATAAGATGGGATCCAATTCAGTCATCGTGGCCTTTGATACGCCGGCTGGAGCAGAAGCCGCTTTGCAAGTGGTTGCCCTGCTTGGACCAAAGAGGATATCAAGAGCTTTATCGAGAAAGTAGTTCCCGTGGAGTATGTAACTTTAACTGCTAACCGCCTTATTCCCAGAGCATTTGTACGTTTGGAATCAGTAGATGATATTCCCAAAGTCCTAAAACTGCACAGCACCGAGCTCTTTTCTCGCTTTATTACGGTGCGACCTGTTTCGTTCAAGGCGCTGTCAAAGTCCAATGAACTTATCCTGGTCTTCGAAAATTTAGGCAAGCACAAGTCATACAGCTGCGACGCCTTGGAGAAGATATTCAAAAAATGTGGCGAATTGAACTATGTTGACGTTGTGTGCAGCAAGACAGTTTTAGCTTTCGTCACATTCAAGAAACCTGAAGGAGCTACAAAGGCTATTGCACAACTCCAAGGAAAGACTGTTAACAATGTGGAGCTTAAGCTGAAGCCCTATCATGCCAGTAGCTCGGGGAGGGCTATTCTAGTGAAAAACTTGACGTCAGATACTACTGAAGCTGACCTTAGGCAATTGTTTACCAAGACCGGCGAAATCGAGAGCATCCAGATGTTGGGAATTAAGGCCGTAATAAAGTTCACAACCGATGAAGGCTTGTGTAAATCATTCTTGGCCAACGAAACTATCGTCAACCGCGTACCTATTTTGATCGAGCCCAACTCTCTGCTGAAGCACAGGTTAATGAAAAGACGCATTGCAAAAAGCCACGCCCCCGGAAAGTTCCAGAAGGACACATTTGGCCACAAACCTTTTAATCAGCGTACGTCACATGAAAATGGGGGCAATCCGTTTATAAAAAGGAAGTTAGAAACTGAATATGCCGTAGGAGAATTAGTTGCCATAAACAGAACACAGTAAGGAACTGGAATGAAACTTTATCCAAAAATTGTTCGGCACTCACAAAGTAACTAAAAAACTTAATCACGGGCGTTATGAAATAAAAAAACAAGGTAATCAGGAGGGATTACTGTCGTTACTACGACAGCAGCCGAATACATGAAAAAATGGGGTTCATTCAGGGGCGAATGAAGATTAAGGATAGCCGATTGTGGAATATGGGTATATAAAGGTATTAAGCAGCCTATTTAATTTCATATGGGGACACACTGTTCCGAATTCCACAACCTCGTAGCTTTTTTTCTACAGCCAAAACGCCATATAGAACTGTCTCTTTTCATCAAAGAATGTCTATACCCATCACCCTCTTCCTAATAGAAATTGCGCCGTACTAATTCAAGTCGAAGTCAGTCGATTGCGAAGAAGGGAGCAAGTTTCGAAAACTGTCGCGACGAAAAATGAAGTGAAGACTAAGCCCCCGCCAATTTACTTACGAGAAAAAAGTTCCAACGTTCTTGTCAACAAAATTATAGAGCTTATTGGCAAGGACAATTTTCACATAATACCACTCATAAAGGGCAACATCCAGAACACAAAAGTTCAAACGAAGTCTGAAGATAATTACAGAGTATTATCAAAACATCTCACCGACAAAAAAAAGAACTTTTATACTTATCAGCTAAAAAGCAGCAAGGGCCTGCAAGTCGTACTTAAGGGCATAGAGTCCGAAGTATCGCCTGCAGAGATAACAAGGGCGCTACAAGAGAAGGGATTTAGCGCTAAGACAGTCTTCAATATCCTTAACAGGGATAGAAAGCCGCAGCCACTCTTTAAGGTTGAGCTCGAACCAGAAATTAAGCCCCTAAAGAAATACGAAGTTCACCCTATATACAATCTTCAGTTCCTGCTGCACCGCAGAATTACGGTTGAGGAGCCGCACAAACGCAATGGCCCGGTACAATGTGCGAACTGCCAAGAATTTGGCCATACAAGGTCTTACTGTAAACTGCGCCCTGTGTGTGTAGTTTGTGGTGAGCTTCATGACTCCGCACACTGCCCAGCGAGCAAAGATGACCACAACTCAAAAAAGTGCGGCAACTGCGGTGGAAATCACACTGCTAACTATAGAGGTTGCCCAGTTTATAAGGAGCTGAAAAGTCAAATCCACCAGAGGGGAATTACTGCCCGCACCCAACATAAACAGTTGCTAGCCTCCAGGTCAAACCCTGAAGTCTTCTTCTCGACTGCAGCCAGATCCTCACTTGGACCCATAAACTCAGCCAAAAATGTTACATACGCAAGTGCTTTAAAATTAGGACTGTCTACCCCAGCCTCAAAAAGCTCATTGCCGCAATCAGCATACCAAGAACCGAACACGGCTCAGCAGCATCAATCGCCAGAGCAGCCAAAAAGTAACTTTGAAGCTATGATATGCAGTCTACAACAAAGCCTTACGGAGTTTATCTGATGCGAAACCAAAATCTATTAATACAAATGCTGGTTTCACAACAATCCAAATAATGACTTCCCTACGAATATCTACGTGGAACGCTAACGGCGTTTCGCAGCATAAGCTCGAGTTAGCGCAATTCCTACTAGACAATGAAATCGACGTAATGCTGCTTTCAGAAACACATCTTACAAACAGATACAATTTTCAACTACGAGGATATTCATTTTATGGAACAAACCATCCAGATGGTAAAGCACACGTCGGGACTGGAATTTTAATCAGGAGCAGTATTAAGCACCATTATCATACAAAATTTGCTAAACACTACCTACAGGCCACATCCATAAATATACACCTAAATACTGACAAGCAATTAATGCTAGCCGCCGTATACTGCCCCCCACGCTTCACAATAGCCGAAGATGAGTTTATGCAATTTTTCAACTCACTCGGAGACCACTTCATAGCAGCAGGAGACTACAATGCCAAGCACACACACTGGGGATCTCGTCTCGTGACTCCAAAAGGAAAGCAGCTCTATAATGCAATTATCAAAGCCAAGAACAAGCTCGACTATGTTTCTTCTGGCACACCAACATACTGGCCGGCAGACCCAAAGAAACTTTCGGATTTAATAGACTTTGCGATTACCAAAAATATTCCTAAAAACATGATAAGCGCCGAATGCCTCTCGGATCTTTCATCTGGTCACTCGCCTGTCCTTTTTACTCTACTCCGACATCCAGGAACATGGGATCAACCATTAAAACTGACCTCACATAAAACCAATTGGGTTAAGTACAAAAAGTATATTAGCTCACACATTGAGCTAAGTCCTCACCTCAGCGATGAAGCCAACGTAGACAGTTTTGTTAATTCACTGGAATCTGTACTCGTCTCTGCAGCTCGAGTTTCAACACCTCATACTATAAACACACAATGGAATCAAAAGAAGTCAAATCTACAAATCGAACAGCTCGTCCTCGAAAAGCGACGCTTACGTCGAGCATGGCAAATTCACAGATCGCCATCTGCAAAGCAATGCTTAAAACATGCCTCACGTCAACTTGCTCAAGCTCTACAGCAAGAAGAAACATATGTCCACCGCCGCTACATTGAGCAATTGTCAACTAATTGTACAAAACACTCACTATGGAGAGCTCACCCAACTCTGAGCTCACCGAAAGAAACCGTGATGCCTATTAGAAATTCCACGGGCGGCTGGGCGCGCAGTGACGCAGACCGAGCCAGCACGTTTGCCAACCACCTTAAAAATGTTTTCCAACCAAATCCTGCCACTAATGCGTTTACTTTGCCGACTCTATCATATGAGCCCCAGCCTCAACATGAGCCGATTGAGTTTCGCCCAAACGAAATCGTAAACATCATCAAAAGACAACTTAATCCGAAAAAATCCCCGGGCTGCGACCTCAACGAAAAACGAGAGTACTGTACTGCCATATTTTTAGATGTCTCTCAAGCATTTGATAGAGTTTGGCTAGAAGGTCTAATGTACAAGATCAAGACAATGCTCTTCTACAGCACCCACAAGATTTTAGAGTCTTACCTTCACGACAGAAAATTTGTTGTGAGGTGCAACACTGCTATATCTGATGATTACACTGTTGGAGCTGGAATTCCTCAAGGTAGCGTGCTAGGGCCAACACTATATGTCCTCTACACAGCAGACATCCCAAAAAGCACACGTTTGACAACATCTACGTTTGCCGATGACATAGCTATTCTTAGCCGTTCTAAATGCCTGATTCAAGCAACTGCGCAGCTAGCTCGTCATATGGTCGATGTTGAAAAATGGCTATCAGAGTGGCGAATTAAAGTGAACGAATTAAAATGCAAACACGTTACGTTCACTCTGAACAGGCAAAACTGCCCGCCGATTACGTTAAACAACACTCTACTCCCACAAGCAAACGAAGTAACTTACCTAGGAGTACATCTCGACAGAAGACTCACATGGCGCCGGCACATTGAAGCCAAAAGAACACACCTAAAGCTAAAAGCCAGCAGCCTTCATTGGCTTATCAACGCCCGGTCACCTCTTAGCCTTGAATATAAAATCATGCTGTGCAACTCGGTACTAAAACCTATATGGATGTACGGCTCCCAGTTATGGGGGAACGCCAGCAATAGCAACATTGACATTGTTCAGAGAGTTCCGCACCGTGGTACGTTCGCAACGAAAACATACACCGCGACTTAATCACGCCTTCGTCGCAATGACCTACCCACCCAGCGACCGACCTGAGGGACGCGCAACCAGAATGCAGTCTTAGTATACTGTTAGTTACATTTTAATGTTAAGATTCGTCAACTTATTGTTAGTATCAAAATTAAGAGTAGATTCAATAAATAAAAGCAAAGAAAAAAAAAAAAACTGAAAGCGTTGGATGTAATTGATAAACAAGAACAGATAAAGACGACGAAAATCTAAAAAGTTAAAAAGATAGACTAACGTTGAAGCAGCGACTTGGTGTACACAGACTACAAAAGTGCCAAAAATTTTGCAAAAACTTTACTAAGCGTACCCAAAAATTGACTCGAAAAAAAAAACTTGCAACGCAAAATCTGCGCAGCGACAACAAAAAATTCCTGTGGGCGAAAAGAGGAGCTGAAAGATCTTGCAAACGACGCAATCCGCCAAAAAATTGCGAGAGACGAGCAAGAAGTGGCAACGAGACGAGCAAGCGTGACGACATCATAGAAGAGTACGAGCTGCAGTAGCAGAGTGGACTGGATTGGCGAAATTCAAGCAGACGTAGAAGACAGCCAAATCCAATTGGGTGTGGTCAGCGACTGAGGCGATTTCATATATTTAATCTGATTTGATTTTTTTTGAATACACGAATTTGTTTAACGTCAATTAAATTCATACTTTGTTTTATCAAAACATTTAAATATTGAATTGTACCACTGTTTGTAAACGGCTTGAACGCATTACTATGGATGCTAGAACGAACCTCGCTATGACCGTGCCTCCACTAAGGGCAAAGTTATCCAAACTAGGTTTGGATACAACTGGCAGAAAAGGAGCATTGCAGGATCGGTTGTTTGATCATTATGCATTAGATGTGGCTGTCGATGAGGACGGCGAGGCTGATGATTACCAAGAGGTGGTCCAACCTAGTAGCTCGAGATTTACACTACGCGATATTCAGGACAGTGTTTCATCATTTTCAGGCTCCGAACAGGAAGACGTCAATCACTGGCTGTCTGAATTCGATGACGTTGCAGTTACCGTGCGTTGGGATAATTTAAAAGTACAACTACATTAAAAGTACAAGGGGAGTTAGGGGTTGGATTGAGCTGAAAAACGCGTTGAAGGAAGAATTCGGTAAAAAGCTATGTTCGGCAGAGATACACAAGATTTTGCGCAAAAGGCAAAAACAACCAAAAGAGGCATGCCTCGAGTATCTCTATAGTTTAATTGAGATCAGCAAACCGATAAATCTTGATGAGGAAAGTCTAGTATCGTACTTCATAGATGGCATCGCAGATAGCAAGGTCAACAAGGCAGGGTTGGATCGAGCGAATTCCATTAGGGAACTTAAAGCCGAATTAAGCAAAAGAAAAGATGAAGGGTAAGGGAAATACTAAAGACAATTTGAACAGGGAAGCGACAGGTAAGCCGACTCAGAGCAATTTTCAAAGGAAATGCTTCAAGTGTAACAGCGAAGGCCATATTGCTAAGGATTGCATTGGCGAAGTAATAAACTATTTCCCTTAAGAAGGAAGTAAAAGCTGCGAAGGGACTCATTTACAAAAAGATGAAAGCTAAAGGAGTGACATTCATAGCCATGATTGATTCGGGATGTGACTTGTGTTTGATGAGAGAGGACATTTTCAGAAGTTTTGACGGCTTGAAGCTAAAGCCAGTAGTTAAGCAGCTCAGAGGTATCGGCAAGGGCGAACTTGTGACCGTCGGATGATTCGACGTCGATCTTGAAGTTGATGGTGTATGCCTCTCGCTAACTTTCCATGTTGCCATACAGAACGAACTCGACTACTCGGTGGTTGTGGGAAACGATGTGCTACAGTCAGTCGACGTAATGTTCAGTTCCAACGGCGTCGAGTTCAGGGCAAAAAAGAGAGACTTTGCATTGACATTTAATGGAATGTGTGTCACGGAGATAGTCGAGAAAAGTTCCGTCCTAGATAAAATTAATTTATCTCACCTGGCCGACAATCAAAAACTAAAGGTACAGGAAGAGGAGAAACAGATCGCAGCTACCCAGTCGTCCTCCAAAAGGACCAGGAAGCAACCAGTGAAGAAAGTTCCACCGTCGAGCGAAGAAGAGTCCGACGCTGAGGAGCAGATCGACGATCAGGTTGAGGTTGATAGCGACTCCGAGGCAGAAGAATCGGCTGATTTAATTGATGATGAGGCTGAGGAAGATGAAGATGAGAATAGTGACGAAGAGGAAGATGATGACGAGAAGGTGGAGCTAGGAGAGGTTTCAAAGACCTCAGACGCGGGGGAGGAAGAAGACTCCGACGAAGATGATGAAGCCCCTGTAGAGGAGCCTGTTTCCAAGAAAGGCGAGAAAAGGGGGGAATCCAACTCTGAAGGATTAAAAGAAAAAAGCGGAATTCCTAAAGTGTCCATTGGTAGGATTCCATTGGATTGGAATGCCAAAAAATCAGATCGTCTATGCCGCGAACTTACCAAATGAATACAAACACAAGGATGTGGTCACCTTATTCGCCAAGTTCGGACCGATTTATGCAGTGCACCGTATTACTAATAAGTTGGGTCCCAATTCAGTCATTGTGGTCTTTGATTCGCCGGCTGGAGCAGAAGGCGCTTTGCAAGCCAAGCATAAGGCGCTGACTCTTGGAGAAAATGTTTTAACTGAATCTCAGGCGAAGGACAAGGAAGCTTTAAATGAACGCACAGTTGTGGTTGCCCTGTTTGGGCCAGATGTCACCAAAGAGGATATCAAGAGCTTTATCGAGAAAGTAGCTCCCGTGGAGGATGTAACTTTAACTGCTAACCGCCTTATCCCCAGAGCATTTGTAGGTTTGGAGTCAGTAGAGGATATTTCCAAAGTCCTAAAACTGCACAGCACGGATTACGGTGCGACCTGTTTCGTTCAAGGCGTTGTCAAAGTCCAATGAACTTACCCTGGTCGTCGAAAATGTAGGCAGGCACGAGTATAACAGCTGCGATGCCTTGGAGAAGATATCCAAAAAATGTGGTGAATTGGACTATGTTGACGTTGTGTGCAGCAGAGCAGTTTTTGCATTCGTCACATTCAAGCAACCTGAAGGAGCTACAAAGGCTATTGCAGAACTCCAAGGAAAGACTGTTAACAATGTGGAGCTAAAGCTGAAGCCCTATCATGTCAGTAGCTCAGGGATAGCCATTCCAGTGATAAACTTGACGTCAGCTACTTCTGAAGCTGACTTAAGGCAATTGTTTACCAAGAGCGGCGAAATCGAGAGATGTTGGGCAATAAGGCCGTAATAAAGATCACAACCGATGAAGGCTTGTGTAAATCAGTCTTGGCCAACGAAACTATCGTCAACCGCGAACGTATTTTTATCGAGCCCAACTCTCTGCTGAAGCACAGATTAATGAAAAGACGCACTGCAAAAAGCCACGCCCCCGGAAAGTTCCAGAAGGACACATTTGGCCGCAAGCCTTTTAATCAGCGTCCGTCACATGAAAATGGGGGCAATCCGTTTATAAAAAGGAAGTTAGAAACTGAATATGCCGTAGGAGAATTAGTTGCCATAAAAAGAACACAGTATGGAACAAAGAACAAAGAAATAACTGTGCGTTAACACATCGAAAACTGTCGCGACGAAGAATGAAGTGAAGACTGAGAAAAAAAAGAATTAAGAACTGATAAAAGTCGAGGAAAATCTAAAAAAATAAAAAGATCGACTAACGTCGAAGCAGCAAATTGGTGTACACAGACTACTACAGACTATTTTTGCGACAACAAAAAATTCCCTGTGGCGAAAAGAGGAGCTGAAAGATCTTGCAAACGACGCAATCCGCCAAAAAATTGCGAGAGACGAGCAAGAAGTGGCAACGAGACGAGCAAGCGAGTATGAGCTGTAGTAGGAGAGTGGATTGGATTGGCAAAATTCCAGCAGACGTAGAAGGCAGCCAAATCCAATTGGGTGTGGTGAGCGACTGAGGCGATTTCATATATTTAATCTGATTTAAATTTTTTTTGAATACACGAAGTTGTTTAACGTCAATTAAATTCTTACTTTCTTGTATCAAAACATTTAAATATTGAATTGTACCACTGTTTGTAAACGGCTTGAACTCATTACTATGGATGCTAGATCGAACCTCGCTATGACCGTGCCTCTACTAAGGGCAAAGTTATCCAAACTAGGTTTGGATACAACTGGCAGAAAAGGAGCATTGCAGGATCGGTTGTTTGATCATTATGCATTAGATGTGGCTGGCGATGAGGACGGCCAGGCTGATGATTACCAAGAGGCGGTTCAACCTAGTAGCTCGAGATTTACACTATGCGATATTCAGGACAGTGTTTCATCATTTTTAATAATTTGCATAAATTTATTTATGCTAATCAACTTCTGATTGGAGCAGCCAAGCTCTACATTAAAAGTACAAGGGGAGTTAGGGGTTGGATTGAGCTGAAAAACGCGTTGAAGGAAGAACTCGGTAAAAAGCTATGTTCGGCAGAGATACACAAGATTTTGCGCAAAAGGCAAAAACAACCAAAAGAGGTATGCCTCGAGTATCTCTATAGTTTAATTGAGATCAGCAAACCGATAAATCTTGATGAGGAAAGTCTAGTATCGTACTTCATAGATGGCATCCCAGATAGCAAGGTCAACAAGGCAGGGTTGGATCGAGCGAATTCCATTAGGGAACTTAAAGCCGAATTAAGCACTTACAAAAAGAGGGTAAGGGAAATACTAAAGACAATTTGAACAGGGAATCGACAGGTAAGCCGACTCAGAGCAATTTTCAAAAGAAATGCTTCAAATGTAACAGTGAAGGCCATATTGCTAAGGATTGCAAAGGCGAAGTAATATGTTACAAGTGCAACAAGAAAGGACATATCTCTAAAAATTGAGATAAGAATAAAGAAACTATTTCCGTTAAGAAAGAGTTTGCAAACATACTGGAAGTAAAAGCTGCGAAGGGACTCAAAAGATAAAAGCTAAAGGAGTGACATTCATTCCAATGGCGTCGAGTTCAGGGCAAAAAAGAGAGACTTTGCATCGACATTTAATGGAATTTGTGTCACGGAGATAGTCGAGAAAAGTTCCGTCCTAGATAAAAATAATTTATCTCACCAGTCCGACATTGAAAAACTAAAGGTACAGGAAGAGGAGAAACAGATCGCAGCTACCCAGTCGCCCTCCAAAAGGACCAGGAAGCAACCAGTGAAGAAAGTTCCACTGTCGAGCGAGGAAGAGTCCGACGCTGAGGAGCAGATCGACGATCAGGTTGAGGATGATAGCGACTCCGAGGCAGAAGACGCGGCTGATTTAATTGATGATGAGGCTGAGGAAGATGAAGATGAGAATAATGACGAAGAGGAAGATGATGACGAGAAGGTTGAGCTAGGAGAGGTTTCAAAGACCTCAGACGCAGGGGAAGAAGAAGACTCCGACGAAGATGATGAAACCCCTGTAGAGGAGCCTGTTCCCAAGAAAGGCAAGGAAAGTAAGAAACCCGGGGAATCCAACTCTGAAGGATTAAAAGAAAAGAGCGGAATTCCTAAAGTGTCCGTTGGTAGGATTCCCATAGGAACGCCAAAAAATCGGATCGTCTATGCCGCGAACTTACCAAATGAATACAAACACAAGGATGTGGTCACCTTATTCGCCAAGTTCGAACCGAGCTATGCAGTGCACCGTATCACTAATAAGATGGGATCCAATTCAGTCATCGTGGCCTTTGATACGCCGGCTGGAGCAGAAGCCGCTTTGCAAGTGGTTGCCCTGCTTGGGCCAAATGTCACCAAAGAGGATATCAAGAGCTTTATCGAGAAAGTAGTTCCCGTGGAGTATGTAACTTTAACTGCTAACCGCCTTATTCCCAGAGCATTTGTACGTTTGGAATCAGTAGATGATATTCCCAAAGTCCTAAAACTGCACAGCACCGAGCTCTTTTCTCGCTTTATTACGGTGCGACCTGTTTCGTTCAAGGCGCTGTCAAAGTCCAATGAACTTATCCTGGTCTTCGAAAATTTAGGCAAGCACAAGTCATACAGCTGCGACGCCTTGGAGAAGATATTCAAAAAATGTGGCGAATTGAACTATGTTGACGTTGTGTGCAGCAAGACAGTTTTAGCTTTCGTCACATTCAAGAAACCTGAAGGAGCTACAAAGGCTATTGCACAACTCCAAGGAAAGACTGTTAACAATGTGGAGCTTAAGCTGAAGCCCTATCATGCCAGTAGCTCGGGGAGGGCTATTCTAGTGAAAAACTTGACGTCAGATACTACTGAATCTGACCTTAGGCAATTGTTTACCAAGACCGGCGAAATCGAGAGCATCCAGATGTTGGGAATTAAGGCCGTAATAAAGTTCACAACCGATGAAGGCTTGTGTAAATCATTCTTGGCCAACGAAACTATCGTCAACCGCGAACCTATTTTTATCGAGCCCAACTCTCTGCTGAAGCACAGATTAATGAAAAGACGCATTGCAAAAAGCCACGCCCCCGGAAAGTTCCAGAAGGACACAATTGGCCACAAATCTTTTAATCCGCGTCCGTCACATGAAAATGAGGGCAATCCGTTTATAAAAAGGGCAAAGTTTTAGAGCTGAAAACCTTAAAAGATTTAGTCTTAAGTTTTGCAGTACAATAAAAAGAACACAGTATGGAACTGGAATGAAACTTTGTCCAAAATTTTTCGGCCCTTACAAAGTAACTAAAAAACTTAATCTCGGGCGTTATGAAATAAAGAAAGAAGGTAATCAGGAGGGACCAAACATTACTACGACAGCAGCCGAATACATGAAATAATGGGGTTCATTCAGGGGCGAATGAAGATTAAGAATAGCCGATTGTGAAATATGGGTATATTAAGGTATTAAGCAACCTATTTAATTTCATATGGGGACGCACTGTTCCGAATTCCACAACATCATAGCTTTTTTTATCAGCCAAAACGCCATATAGAACTGTCTCTTTTCATCAAAGAATGTCTATACCCATCACCCTCTTCCTAATAGAATTATCTGAACTTTTTTGGTCCGTAAACTGATCAAATGACTGATATTAAAATCATAATTTGTATTATCTATCTTGTCTTCTCTCATTTCATTTTCTTTTGAGTGTATTGATATAGCATCCGACTCCCTCTCATTGTCCACATAGTCATGCGTTTCGTCTTTCTTTCTGTTTTCTAAAACATTTGTATGTGAAAAGACATTATTATACGAATCAATGTCATTTGTAGATTGGTACTGAGATTAGTTTCAGTTTGTCTGATGTTCTTGTATAGAACAAGTCATCGACATCTGGCATATCATTGTCATACTTTTCATTTTGGTATAACTCACGTTTAACATTTGCTCCCTCGTTTGATTTTAAGAATGGCTGCTTTTCATTTTCGTTAACAAGTTCATGTAAGGTTCTGTAATAGGTTTTTTTCATCCAACTCTAAAACGCTTGATTTTTATCACGTTTGAGGTCATCAAACATTCTCTTCAAGGCAGATCTCGCTTTTGTTAACTGAGCTAACACATTCATTATTGTAAGCTGTATAAAATTAGATAAAGTATATTTTTTAAAATATATTGTCTTTATGTAATCACTCTTCAGTTACTCAGTCTATACTGTTTACTGAAAACTACAGCTTCTAATATTTATATCCACCGCACCCATTCCATGAAATAAAAAATGTATTGTTAATATAGATTTTAAAATTATTTTTTATCGTCCGTAGAATCGAATTCGACTTCTGTAGACTCCTTGTTCTTATAGTTGTTTTTCTCCATGTTCATTTTATTGTATATTGTTTTTGTTGTTAATCAGTGTTTTTGTTGTTTATCAGTTGTTTTATGTTGTTAATCAGTTGTTTTTGTAGTTAATCAATTGTTTAGCAGTGGTTTTTTATTGGTTTTCAGTTGTTTTTTGTTGTCAATCAGTTGTTTTTTTTGTTGTTTTGCAGTTTTTTTTGTTGTTCCTTCTATGGTTTTATAATTATTTGTTGTTTATCTGTTTTTTTTTATACTATTTCAACATCTGCTGAACGCGAAGTCGAAACTTACACTGTGAAGTTAAGGTAAGCAGTCCCGATTTTAATACCATCCTTAAGCTCAATTGAAAACACTAAAGAATCGATTTTTAAATCGTTTCTCCATTATATTGATGTTTAATCATCAAAGCTTTCCCATCGGATAAGATACATTAGCTATAGGACTGCTTTTAATAAGTCAAAAATAAATAATATGAGTACTTGGAAAAATTAATAAAACCTATAAAAGGAATGGGATATCATACATTCTCTCATAACGATAGTAAATTATACTCCAGTGAAGCAAAAAATAATTCTATTATGATCTCGATGATGTAGCTTATGAAAAACAAGATCAGATCAGATCTTATCTTTGTATGGTTTGTGATTCGTGACAATGAAAACTTTATTATAATGTTTAAACAAGATTAGTTAAATAAATACATATATATATTGATCATATTAATACAGATATGGGATACGGTATATTCGCGGAAATTTGTAAAAAATGCTATACGAGGTCAAACGAAGACATCCACTATAATATTGTGGACGCCACAGTTTTCCACGGTTCGAGGACCTTAGAATGGGCGTGGAAAGATAAGAACTCCTGCCGAGAAAACAGTAACGGGTATCTTATAGTCGAGGCAGTCGACTTTAGCGTTTCTTCTTGTTTTTTATTATTTGTCTTCTCTTTTAGAGTTTATGTTTTCAATTGAAATCACAACACTTGTTGTTGCACGTAACCTTTTGTTGAGACAAAGCTTACAAAGTTTATCAAAACAAACAATAGCCAATGGCTATCATTACTGTTTCTCCGAACATACTCCCCCTGCTAGATGGGAACCGCTTCCAAACAGCACAGATTCGATCGGAAGAGCAGCTAGTTTGGCAACGACCCTCTTGAACAGGCCAGTTGAGCTCCGAACCATAACTACCATAATGATTTCATCCTCTCCTGGTGTGACCTCTTAAACGCGTCCAATGTGCCAATGAAGGGGCGGCAACTTTTCATCCTTCATCAACACTAAGACATCGACCGGTATTTTGTTCTGTCCAGATTTCCACTTGCCCCTCTCTTGCAACAAGGACAGACAGATAATCTGCGCTCCGTAAAATTTGCTGAATCTGGACCGATAATTGCCATGGATTTAGTCAAGATTCTTGAATGAAAGGTGAATTGAACCTTGAACCTGTTAGAAAATGCGCCGGTATCAGCACTTCCAAATTATTCGATTTTCTGATCTACTTCGGTCTTCTGAAGTTGGATAGTAGGTTGTTAAAGCAGGTTCTGGTTAGTGAATAAAACATGGTTCCCTCCACCCTGAAACCCATTATCTGTCGTCTCCTGTGATTAGGATTTCCCATCACCACCCCGCATGTCCTTTTAGTCAGTACGGATTCTGGCACAGCAATCATAAGTTTTAATATGATTGCACGTGCTCAAAGAACTAATAAAATGTGACGATTGTGTCATGTTTAGTTTTTCGACCCCCCTATCCGTTACTTGAGAATATTGAAATGTATTCCTGACCCTAATTAGGAAGTTTGGGAACGTCTTAAGGGGTTGAATTTTCTGAAAACACACTGTCAATTTCTATATGTGTAAGTTGCTGTGTACGTGTGTGCCTTTGTATGGCTGAGTGGGAACCCCAGATGTGTGTGGAAACATGACATGGATAACCGATAAGGAAAATCCATGCTCGCACCTTAAAAAAAATGTGTTTTTAGTATATCTCTCCATTCCAACACATTGATAAAATGTATTCTTTTTATCCATGTGTTGATGGTTTTTATGTTTTTTATAAATTTTGAAGTTTCAAGCCGAAAGACTTTAAACATAATTTATTTTTCAAAGTAAGTGAGCTTCGTTTTAGACTAGATCTTTCTATAGCTTTACAATTAGTAAGGTTTGGTTGAGTGTATGAACCAGGTCTTTTATTATAAATAATCATTCTATAATGCAAATATGCATCTGAATCAAAAAATTTTCACCACGTAATGAAGAGAGTGCTTATTTCATCGAAATTGTTTAGAAAGAAAATAAGATTATGTGTTGTCATAGTCATTTTATAGCCAGGAGGAACATTAATACCGAATTCATTTAACGTATGATTATGTGTATTGTCCACATATGAACCACTAATTATGTTACATTCCAAACGAATATAATTTTTAAAATATTGACAGTCTGATCCGATAGATATGTTTTTGTTGGGTGTGGCTCTAAAACTCTTTTATCAAAACCCAAAAAGTTGACCAATTGATATTTCCTTATTAAAGTAAACCGGCTCCCGAGGGCTGGTTATTTCCACTTGAACAGTATTGTTATTGCTTTCAATTTTAAAAAAAATTTCAATACTCTCTCAGTTTTTTATAAATATAATCAGTTATATTATTTAGTTCATAGGATCAAGTGGGAATTGTGATCACATTAGTTCCGATATGAAAAAGGTTGATTTTTTCGTCTATATATGGAATTGAATTCTACATGTTAAAATCAATAAATGCACACTCAAAACGTCCATCCAATTCGATTGGTGGAAAATAGTTTGTATTTATAACAGAACTATTTCCATTCAAGGACAAGGTCACTAATTATGTCTAATTATGAAATCTAATATTAAGCAGTGGAAATGTTTGTTTTTAGTCTATTGTTTAACACAAATCTCTTGTTTAAATATTATAATAAAGTTTGCATTATCACGAATCAAGTGTTTAGGTATATTTTTTTTACGCGACTCCCGTTGCTTGACGTGCAACCCACCTCCCGCCCAACCGACCGAGGGGCGCTGCCGGCTCGGAACACGGGGATAGATCCGAGTGGACTAGTAAAGATACGATGAAAGTTAGTTTTATGCTAAATGGATTAGTATCGAAACTTTCAAAGTATAAGGAGAAGAGTTAGAAGTAATGTTATAAAGATCATTGTAGTTCGAACTTAGTACCCGAAAGGTTTCATGTTGGGCAAAGTTCGAACTACAATGCCCTAAGGATAGATGAATATAGTTTCTAGTAATCCTAAGGGGTACACGGATTTTCAAGCTGCCTAGAAGGGCCTGGCTATCAATTTTACCCTTAAGAAGATTATGGATAAAGACGACACCAAGCATCGTTCTACGATTAGCGAGGGATGGCAAATTTATAAGTAAGAGTCTACTTTTATAAAAGGGAAGAGCAGATATTAAAAAGTTATTTTGGATGGATTCAATAAGGCACTGGTGAAACCCATACTGGGGTTCCCAGATACATGATCCATATTCCAGAATCGGAAGAACTAAAGAAATAAACATTGTTTTGGTAACATAGGGGTTGTCAAATTCATTCGACCACCTTTTAATGAAACCAAGCACTCCTCTAGCTTTATTAACCATAGAGGAAATATGGTCGAAAAACTTAAGTTTTGCATCGAGTAAGGTGCCAAGAAATTCAACTGCATTTTTATGGAGCTACACCCTGCAGAGTATAAGTGGCAACTTTAGGTCTAGGGCGAGAGAAGGTTATTGCTGTGCACTTAGAGCTATTAAGATTTACAAAGTTTCTAGAGCAGCAGTTTTGAAAATGATTAAGGTCGGATTG